ACGCTTCCTATGGGCGAGCTGGCTGGGCGGTAGCTGAGCTGGAAGTGAGAGCTCGCGGCCTAGGTGGAGCGTGTCAGACGTGCTCCGTCCGTGGGTCAGCGTGGCACACGGGCAGGGGTTCTGGCTCCACGGGCCTCTGGATTCTGTTCCTCTGGTGCATCATCCTCGGGCAGGCTCTGGGCTCTGCCTTGGCTGCCTCCCTGGCAGGGGAAGTGTGTGGGCACGCGTGTGCATGTGTGTGGGGGTGCATGTGCAGGGGGTATGTGTGCAGGGGGCACGCATATGCAGGCATGTGTGCATGAGTGTGGGTAGGCATGTGTGTGCATGCAGGGGGCGTGTGAGTGCGTGTGGGGGTGCACATGCGGAGGTTTGCGCATGCATGTGGGGTGGGCGTGTGTGCGTGTGTGTGGAGGGGTGCAGGGCTGCACATGTGCATATGGGGGCATGTGTGTGCAGGCACATATAGGTGTGTGGGGAGCACGTGTGCATATGTGGGGGTGCGTGTGCATGTGTGCGTGTGGGGGGGCATGTGTGTGGGGGTGCGTGTGTGGTGGCACACGTGCATGTGCAAGGAGCGCATGTGTGTTTGTGCACATGAGTGTGTGCGGGGGGCACATGCATGTGTGGAGGTGCGCATGTACGGATGTGTGTGCGGGATGTGTGTGTGTGCGAGCGTGTGTGTGGGGGGGGCATGTGTATGCAGGCACGTGTGTGGGAGGGGCTTGTGTGTGTGGGGGTGCGTGTGTGGTGGCACACGTGCATGTGCAAGGAGCACCTGTGTGTTTGGGCGCATGAGTGTGTGTGCGGGGGGCACGTGCATGTGTGGAGGTGCGCATGTAGGGATGTGTGTGCGGGATGTGTGCGCGTGCGAGCATGTATGGGGGGGCATGTGTGCAGGTACGTGTGTGTGTGCAGGGGGCACATGTGTGCTAAAGGGAGGGGGCGCGCGGGGAGGGCACAGCCTGGCTCCCAGGGCTGAATGGATCCAGCTTGCGATGGCGGGGCAGGGGCTTTTCAGGGGAGTCCCCGGCGTTCCCTCGGCGATCCCCCGGCGCCCTGAGCTCTGTGCGCTTCTCG